AAAAAAAAAAAAAAAAAGATACTGCTATTATCTCCACCTTTGGATGAGGAAAAGGGAGTTATACAGGCTAAATAACTCATAAGTGGTAGCACCAGGATTCCAAACGGAGCAGCATGACTCCAGTCTGCAGAATTATCCAATGTGAAAACCCACCAGTTCATAAAGGAGGCAATGGTTGTTCCACTTACGATCAAAATACAACCTAAATATTCACAGGCTCTTACAATGGAAAGCCACTTCCAGTTCATACTCAGCTTTGCTTTCTACGGACAGGGTAACAGAGGCACAGAGAACGGGAGTGGTCTCGTTGCTTTTCTTCAGTCTAATCATGCATCCTCAAGAAAGGAAGTCTCGGTTCCTTGGCTTGAGTCCATGTGGCAGTGACTGTGCATCATCTTTCTTGGGATTGAAATAGCATTAAACTAATGAGCATATTTGCTGCTGTAAGTAGGGAGTTGAGTGAAGTAAGCGTTGAGGCGGGGGAACAGGAGCATGGAAAGTAGACTTGAGTCTTTCCCCAGAGTCAGTTTGGCTGTGACAGTAGGTTCAGCATTTACTGTATTCAGATCAGGTGGTTTTCCAGATATGGAAATATTAGATATTTAAACACTGACTTTGAATTTGTAGCAAAGTTAAGCTGCACAACCTTGTGGAGGATCACAACAAAGTCCAGGTTACAATCATTGTAAAAGGCAAAGGTAAGTGATGGGCTCTGCCGTCGCCAGCATCCTGGTATTCAGAGTGGAGTCAGTCTCATTTGTTTTATTGGTCAAGGAGAAAAAGTTTTTTCTCATTAAACTGAGGACTGGAGCTAAGGTGAGGTAAACAAGGCATCATAGATGCAAACTTTAAGGAGGCAAGGTCATGAGAATGCTGGCCTGTACCTGCGGGAGCCTGAGGGAGCCCCTCGTTGAATTCTGTACCCTACGTACCTGGCATGCCTCACCCTGGTCCCAGCCCTGATTGAACCATTTCTGTCCAATGTCTGATTTATTTCAAATTCCTTCTGTCCTCCATGTTTCACTTACTGGAATGTTACTGGGTAAGACTTCTTAAGGCTTTGTGATTTCCCCTACTAACGATCCCAAACAGACCTTGCATCATATATTTCAATTTGTTATCTGGAACCCAGGCCTGCATAAGGCTTATAGATGGCTGGCTGGACATTTGGCATTGGCTCTGAGTTAGCCTGGGCTGGGGTGGCCATGACTCTCAGCAAGGAGTAGCTGCAGTCCTGGGCAGCAGAAGTTGTCTGGAGTGTTTACATAGGCCCCAATCCAAGAACAGATTGTGCTACAGGGTGTGGGGGGAATGGGGAGGACGGTCAGGAACCCAACCACAGAGAGTAAGAAGCAGCAAAGGGGCATTCCTTCATTGATCAATGCCACCGAGTGCCTTCGGTGGGCAGAGCGCTGTCTCAGGCACTAAGATCAAGATGGGACACTTGTTGCTGAGCAAATCCTTCGCCATGGCCCGGGTATCAATTCCCTAATCCTGGTTCTCTGGGAATCCGCAGTGGAGTGGAAACGGGCTGGAGCAGGTGAGCATGCAAGGGTAGTTCTTGGCCAACAAGTTGATAAGAGTTCTCAGTTGTTTTAATTGTTAAGTATAAACAGGAAAAGTTCAGCTAGTCATGTAAGCTTTGCCATTGTATAGGTTTGCAGGAGCTAGAGTCCCGTCTCTTGGTTCCCGGAGATATTCTTATGCTTCCAGGAAAACTTTCATTGCCATGCGATGCTGCTCTGATTGATGGAAGCTGTGTGGTGCATGAAGGCATGCTCACGGGTAGGCAGTTGTCACGAAGCTTCCTCTTTCCTTCCAACAGTCAGGCCAGATGAGCAAAGCAGTTCAGTGTACACTTACCTGCTTTATACCAAGGCTAAGGTATTGAGAGATAGATGAGGAAGACACACCCAGACTATTCATGCAGATGGAAACCATATATGCAAACAGGAAATGTTTAAGGATATAGGAATCAAACCACAAGACACACGAAGCTAGAAGAAAAGACTTCTACAACATGGGATCAATGAACTGCCTGATGGGTGCGATGAATAGGGTGCTCTGAGTTCAGAGGAGTGTCAGAACATCATACTGTTTGATGCACAGTCTCTGCATAAATATACGGATAATTTATACTCCTGTACAAACAAAACACAGCCTAAAACCATCACCTCACAATTGGCAGGAAATAGAGATTTTATCTAGCCCTGTACTCTGTAGATGGAAAACCAAGCCCCAGCTTTCAGTGGGAAGGAGATTGAGTTGAACATTCCAGAAAGGCAATAAAATAGTTCTGTTCTCTAGAATCATGTTTCCAGTTGATCTCACTGAGCAGAAAACTGGTTTTCTAGTTATGGTTTGAACTATCCTTGTCCTCATTTATACTTTGTACAGTCCATTTGAATTTGGGTAATTAGTAAGGCACTATTTATAAAATATTCTTCAGGCGAAAAAGAAAATACGCAGGGCATCTTAATGAGAGAGGGAGAAACTATATGGCACCACAGAAATAGAAAGTATTGGCCTACTGTGCTTGCAGATTATTGCATTTTTCTGTTTCCAAACGGTGTAAAGACAGGAAAAAAAAAAAACCCACACACGCACAAAACTTTTTTAACATCACCTGAACATAAAGAGAGGCATTCTCTATTCCTAAATTGTTCAACACAAGTAGATTTCACATGAAAAAATGGGTCTGCTTAAATTAAAATTGAGACAGGAAAATGTAGTAAACATAAATATGTTCGGTATAATTAGAAAATACCCCTTTAATGTGTTAAAATCTAACTGCCTTGTAATGGCAGTGATGAGAATTTGCATACTGATCATACCTTTCATCCAGAATGTTGCCATCGTACCCTAAGTATAAACCTCAAACCCGAGAAAACTGTGCTCTTCACTCAGAGGCAGCAATTGTCTCGTATTCCCAGCAGGCTGCCAACCAAGAACAGCATCCCTCACGGCGACACAGAGCATGGCAGTGAGAAAACAGGGGAGGACACACAGCAGGGTTTACTCCCCTGGGTCTGCTGACCTGGGCGACCGTTCTTGTCCTGATTCTCATGAAAACTCAAAGTGTCTCAGAGAAGTAGGAACGGCAAAAATACCGCCTTTTAACAGATGTGCAAAGTTGACCTAAAATGACCTCAAATGGTCAGTGGTTTTTCTGAGGGTCTATTTCAGGAAACATAAGGTCACCAGCATTTATATATATGTCACCTAAGTACTGATCAAGTCAATTTTAGAAACAGACACATAAAATGGAAATACATCTATTTCTTTCTCTTCAACTTCTTGAAATAGGTCTAAGTGCCAACATGCTCTGAATACTTTCTTACACATCCTGCCTAGATCCTCTCACTCACGTATGTATTTGTGGAAAGGATCCTGATTGAGCAATCAAGTTAGGGTTAGATTCCTGAAACTACAACTGTATTTCTGGGCATGTGTCCACAAATGTGACTCAGGTAGTTCCCTATGTGCAAAAATAGTCCTTTGCATATACAGAAGTCTTTATTTATGTAGGAAGAATAGCAAATACTCCTAACATCTCTATAGCAATTTATATTTTTAGAAGCAACTTTTATACCTCACTTCATTGTAACATAAAACAAATCAGACTAGGAACTACTATAATACCCCATTTACAGATAAGGAAACTGAGGTGAAAAGAGACCAGGGTTGCTCAGTTAGTGAGAGAAAAGTCAGAGTTGGAGGTGGCATTGGCTTTCAGACATGAGGGACCATAGGCGTGAGGACGATGATTTGAGGGTGGGTTCAGCCACTGCCTTTGTGTTTCATCACCTTTTCCTCTCTCCTGGTTATTCCCATTCATAGCACATACCCAGTGTGGGATTTTTCCTGCTCACCTTCATAACCTCATCCTATTGTCATGAGCTCGGCTGTGCAAGAAACATAACTTTATTTTACACTTCATTTTTATTTTGGCTCCAAATTTGGCCACCCTTGAAAGTATGCGGCTCGAAGTATCTGGTACAAGTCAGGCGTCCCCATCAATTAGCAGGACCTCCCGACTCTGGTCTGGCTACAGAAGTTGCATAAGGCACTGCGGAGGGGCATCTGGTCTGGGGCTCACTCCTCTTTCTGTTGCCTCACACCACGTGGACCTTGGGAAGCATCCAGGGCCTATCTACCTGGAAAAGGAGGCAGACCCAGGTGAAGTTGCTCTCGGTTTCTACACACTTCTAGAATGTTTCCATATCCTAATTTCGTCTAGGCCCCTTCTCTCAAAGACACACGATATCTAAGTTTCCTTTAGATTTTCTTCCAACTCCCAGTCCAGGGTTTTGTTTGGTTTGGTTTGGTTTGGTTTGGTTTGGTTAGGAAAGTAGTAGAGGAAAGGCATGGTGGACAGAAAAGCTTTGTTCTCACCCTCAGGTGGTCGCTAAAATCCATTATCAAATTTATGAATGACTTTTGAAACTCAAAAGCTAGTCCTCTGTCCTTTATTCCTGCCTCCCGAGACAGTGATCCCCTTCAAGATTTAGCTCCTCACGGAGGGGTCAAGAGGCATAAGGGAATACCTTATTGCCTTACTGAGGGGCAATCTTCTCTTGGTAGCAATAGCTAATTTTTCTTAGTTCTCGTATGTATATGTACGAGGCACTTTGCTAGCATTTTACATATGCTATTTCATTCAAGCTACAACTCTATAAAGTGGGAGAATCTGAGGTCCAGAGAGGGTAATTTATTTGCCTAAGGTCACACAGCTTAAAAGTGGTGGAGCTGAGATTTGAATTCATTTGTTTATTCATTCATTCATTCAGTCGACAAATGTTTATTAGCCCCTACTATGGAGCAGACACTCTACTAGGTGCTGGGGATACAACTGTGAACAAGGCAGATTTCTGCCCACATGGAGTTGACACGCTAGTGGGAGAACAGAAAACAGGAAAGTAGGTAAATTTCCAACAGCTATAAGTTCTATGAAGAAATAAAACACCTAAACCCAGGCATATTGTCCCCAGAGCCTATGCTTGAAACTACTGCTCCTCATTCTCTTGGGGAAAATTATGGGGGAGAGGGTAGCATTCACTCTGCCACAATCCCTCCCTTCTCCCTCTACTCATTAGAGTTAATGATCTATTTGAATAGTATGTACAGAAGTATGTAGTGATCTGAGTTGGACACACAGGAATTTCCCTAAGTGGTTATTTCACATTTATATCCTGTCAGACAAGCTTATAATCAGTGGATAGATCAGATCTTTTCCTCTCTTCCTTTTTCCCTTTCTTCCTCTCTCTCACTCACTTCTTTTTTTTTTTTTTTTTTTTTTTT